CTAAACCAGAGACCTAGATTTCCAACTGGGTGCCAGTCCCAACATGGATCAGCTTCTCCAGACCGTCTTGGGTTGCGTTCCCTCAGTCTACCCCCTTGAGATGCAGATTTGGGAGCACACTATTAATTGGGGTGATACCAGAAAACTCGGTCAGTAGAGTGAGAGGGTGAGACAGGAAACAAAAAGCAGCTGATGAAGTGTGCTTCACCGAGCGAGTCGCCGCTGTGGGTGTCTGAAGCCTAACACCCCACTGAGGGGCTCTGGGAACCAGCATATAAAACATGCGCCGCAGCACTGCCCTGCTGGAGAAGCGGGGAGCTGGGACAGTTAGACACTGACTCCGTTTCCCTTAGAGGGGACCTGGGAGCCGGAAGGTGCTAGTTCCCCCGCACTTCCACTCCACTGTCCTGGGTTGCCAAGCGGGCACCTGCGGGCACCACAAGGCCCCTGGACAAAGCAGCGCAGGTTGGAAGTCAGGCCGGCGTTCATCGATGTTGTGAGGTGTGGGTATGTGGGCAGGGTACCCACGCTTCTGCTACCCACCCGAACCTGGAGTCCCTCCTGGACTCCGTACTGCAGGTGGCAGCACCCAAGCCGGGGGAGTGGTGTCAAAAGAGGCTCCTTCTTTCACCCCAAACCCCAGGCCAAGCCTCAGCCTCACTCATCATCTAGGTTCCTGTTTTCCCTGCATTTTTCCTCTCTCTCCTCTTACCTAGCATCTAAAAAGTTGCTAATGTGAACATTCTAAAATTTAGATCCATTCACACACCATGTTAGAAATCCTTCGATGGTCTGTGTGGGGTGCCTGGACACCCAAATTCACAGGGACAGAAAGTAGAAGGTGGCTGATGCGGGCTGGGGAGGGGGTGGGGAGTCGGTGTTGCACGGGCACAGAGTTTCAGTTTGGGAAAATGAAAAACTTCTGGAGATAGTTGCACAACAATGGGGACATATTTAATGACACTGAACTATACACTGAAAATGGTCAAGACGGTAAGTTCTATGTTGTATATGTTTCACCACAATTTAAAAATTTTTAATACTTTAGTGGTTCCCACTGCCTAAAGTAGGAGGTCCAAGCATCTTAACATGACATGCTAGTCCCTGTCCTCCAGCCCTGGCTATCCCTCTGACCTCATCCCTTTCCACTCAACTTTGAGCTTCACCTCCCAGAATTTCCAGCTACAAGTAGTTTCCATAACACCCATCCACCTTTGCACTGAACTCTCCTGGTTTCTTTTCCTGAAATGCCAATCTGCCACTGCCTATTTCTCTTCATTCCTCAAAACTCATTAATACATTCGTTCAACAGTAATTTACTGGGCCTCTGACTCCAGTTTCCTAAGGGAGACAGAGTGGTAAGAAAGAGAGAGTGGGAACGAGTAAGTCGAAGCCTGAGTGTGTACAGGTCCTTGGGAAGCAACTAAGAGGAGGGTCTCGCCTCCCCTGGGAAAGTCAAGGGAGCCTAAGCTTGACCGCCTGCTCCTGTAGGGAGACCTCTGACAGAGCTAGTGCCTCTCTTCCTGATGCTCCGTGTACATATTTTTAATTTTTGCACATGCCACGTTGTTAATAATCATTTCATAAGCATCTGCATTAGTCATGGTTCTCGAGGCTGCAAGTGACATTAAACTGAACTAGCCTAAAATATGACGTAAAACTGAAATAACATAAAATCAGACAAAAATTTAAACCAGCCTTACAAAAAAGAGGAAAGGGACTACCAGCTTCTATAAATAGACCATGGGAAGGACAGAGATGGATGTGGCCCACGCGATAACCGGATGTGGGGACACCCAAACTCCATGCCCGTCTATGCACTGCCTTCATGCTCTCAGTGGGAGTCAGGGTCCAGGTAGCATCATTAGGTTCATTAGATTAATTAATTGCACAAATACCATGGTCCATCAATTCAAGGCACACATTTTAATATCTCTGAAATCAACATGTCTCTTACTGTTGCTTTTAGCTCGTCAGTATTTGCACATATGCAAATTAGGTCAGTTAAAGAGTGAGTTCACCAAGCAGCACAGTGACTTCCTTTTCATTCCAGATGGACCCATAGATAAATGCAGAACTGCAGGCTACAAACCAAGTAAGGATACTGAAGAAGAACAGTGAGTCCTGGTTGCTTAGTCAACACCTTCTGTTGATATCTTCAGTTAATATCAAGGAAGTGCCAGCAGCACATTTGCAGAATGGATGTCACAAGCTCAGAAAAAGAAAAAGTCCTGAAGGCAACCAAGGAATACTTTTACAACCAGCCCACGGCCAGTGTTCTGGATGACATGGAGAACATTATCTTTGAAAGTCACAGACACAAGTGACTTGGAGTCAAAAAGTGATTTAAAAGGAAAACTCTGAATGTGAGGAGTTTTTAGAAATATCTTAACCTATTTATATCATTTATATTTTCCTTTTTATGTGTATACAAGAAAATTATATAATATAAAGTCATATCTAGCCCTGACTGGTGTGGCTCAGTGGATTGAGTGCCAGCCTGCGAACCAAAGGGTGGCTGGTTCGATTCCCAGTCAGGGCACATGCCGGGGTTGCAGGCCAGGTCCCCAGTGGGGTGTGCATGAGAGGCAACCACACATTGATGTTTCCCTCTCTTCTCTCCCCTCTAAAAATAAATAAATAAAATCTTTAAAATATATATATAAAGTCATATCTAAATAAATCTAAAAGATCTTTAATAAGTCTAAGATAAAAAGTATTCAAAATAAAAAGCAGGTGTCATAGTTTAATTGACAGTATTTATTTTCTCTTTTTAGTGGAACTCAAAATAACTATTTTAAATTGATTGCGTCTTAGACAAAGAAGACATTACATAATAGTAAATCCAACAAGAGAATATAACCCTTGTAGACATTTATGCATCCAACAAAGGAGCACCTAAATATCTCAATACATAAATCAAATATTGATGAACATTAAGAGAGAGACTGACAGTAATACAGTCATAGTTGGGGACTCTAATACCACACTCACATCAGTGGACAGATGATCTTCCAGAGAGAAAATAATAAAACAGCAGACTTAAATAGCATAATAAATAACATTTCACCCCAAAGCACCAAAATATACATTCTTTTCAAGTGCACATGGAACATTTTCAAGGATTAACCACATGTTAAGCCATAAAACAAGTCTCAAGAAATTTAAGAAGACTGAGATCATATCAAGCATCTTCTCTGAATGCAATGGTATGAAACCAATCATAAATCAATCATAAAAAATCAATAATAAAGAAATAAATCATTTTTAAAAAACCCTGAAAACACACACACACACACACACACACACACACAGAGGCTAAAGAACATGTTACTAAACAATAAATGGGTTAAATCAAGGGAAAAAAATCAGAAGATATCTTCAGACGGATCAAAATAAAAACACAACAACTGAAAATTTATGGGACACAATTTTGTCTCTTAGGACACGAAAGCGGTCCTAAGAGACAAATTCAGAGCATTAAAAGCCAACGAAAATAAAATAGAGTAAGAAAAAAAAAATACAAGCAATCAATGAAACAAAGAGCTGGTTCTTTGGAAACATAAACAAAATTGATAAAACTTTTAACCAAATTCGTCAAGAAAATACAGAGAGGACCCAAATAAATAAAATGAGAAATTAAAAAGAAGTAACAACTGACAACACAGAAATACAAAAGATTGAAGAAAATACAATGAACTATATGCCCCAAAATTGAATAATACAGAAGAAATGAATAAATTCCTAGAAACAAACTTTCAAAACTCAATAAAAAAGAAACAGAAATCTAAACACAGTGATTACAACTAACAATCGAAGCAGTAATCAAAAAACTCCCAATGAACAGAAACATTGGGCCAGATGGCTTCACAGGTAAATTTTACCAAACATTCAAAGAAGAACAAAAGCCTGTCGTTCTCAAACTATTCCACAAATGTTAAAAGGGAAGGCTCCCAGGCTCATTTTATAAGGCCAGCATTAGCCTAATTCCAAAGCCAGATAAAGATATTACAAAGAAAGAGAATTTGCCCTGGCTGGTATGGTTCAGTGGACTAAGCACCAACCTGTGAACCCAAAGGTTGCTGGTTCAATTCCCAGTCAAGGCAAATGCCTGGGTCGCAGACCAGGTCTCCAGTTGGGAGCATGCAAGATACAGTTAATCGATGTATCTCTCACACACTGATGTTTCTCTCCCTCTCTTTCTCCCTCCCTTCCCTCTCTCTAAAAATAAATAAAATCTAAAGAAAAAAAGAGAGAATTACAGGCCAAGGCCAATGTCTCTGATGTACATAGATGCTAAAATCCTTGCACACTGAATTCAGCAATACATTAAAAAAGCCATATACTATGATCAAGTGAGATTTAATCTTCAGATGCAAGGTTTGTTCAATATCTGCAAATCAATTACACTGATATACCATATACACAAAATGAAGGATAAAATCATATGGTCATATCAATAGATGTAGAATGAGCATTTGATAAAGTCCAGTACCCATCTATGCTTAAAAAAAAAAATCTCACCAAGATTGGAATTAGGGAAAAATACCTCAATATTATAAAAGCAATATATAACAAACCCACAACTAACATCATACTCAATGAGGAAAAACTAAAAGTGTTTCCCTTAATATCAGGAGCAAAGCAAGGATGTCAGCTTTCACCACTCTTTTTCAACATAGCCCTGGAAGTCCTAGTCACAGCGATCAGACAAGAAAAAGAAATAAAAGGCATCTAAATAGGAAAAGAAGAAGTAAAACTGTTATTATTTGTAGGTGACATTATACTGTATATAGAGAACCCTAAAGATTCCACAAAAGAACTATTAGAACTGATAGATGAATGCAATAAAGTAGCAAAACACAAAATGAATAGTCAGAAATCAGTTGCATTTTTATACACTAATAGTGAATTATCAGAAAGAGAAGTTAAGAAAACAATTCCATTTACAATTGCATTAAAAAAATACCTAGGACTAAGCAGGGTTTTTTTGGTTTGTTTTTCGGCCAGGGAGAACACAGTCCCCAACTACCAGAAATTATGCAGTCGAGTTTCCCACATCCAGGGGAATCGCAGGGGTCAGCACACCAGGAGTGCAATGGATAAGCCTCTCCCCAGGAAAACGGCCTTCATGATCATGGTATCTCCCCTGCCAGATGAGTGTCCTAGGATTAAATTTAACCCAGGGGGTAAAAGACCTGCACTCAGAAAATTGTAAGGCATTTTAGAAAGAAACTGAAGTAGTTACAAATAAATGGAAACACATACTCTGTTCATGGATGGGAAGCATTAACATCATTAAAACATCCAGCCCTGGCTGGTGTGGCTCAGTGGATCGAGCACCTTTCAGTGCCTTGTGACCAAAAGGCTGCCAGTTTGATTCCCAGTCAGGGCACAGGCCTGGGTGGTGGGCCAGGTCCCCAGTTGGGGGTGTGAAAGAGGCAACCAATTGCTGTTTCTCTCACACATCATGTTTCTCTCCCTCTCTTTTCTCCCTCCTTTCCCCCTCTCTAAAAATAAATAAATAAAATCTTTAAAAAAAAAAACAAAACACAACCATCCATAGTACCCTAAGCAATCTATAGTTTAAGTGTGTTTTATTATATTATTACAGTTATCCCAATTTTTCCCCCTTTGCCTCCCTCTGCCCGGTACCCTCCTTCCCTCCAGCAATCCCCCTGCCTTAGTTCATGTCCACAGATTGAGGATATAAATTCTTTGCCTTCTCTATTTCCTATATTATTCTTAACATCCCCCTGTCTATTTTGCACCTACCAACTGCACTTCTTAATCCCTGCACCTTTTTCTCCATCTCCTACTTCCCCCTCCCAGCTGATAGCCCTCCAAATGATCTCCATACCTATGAATCTGTTCCTGTTCTGGTTGTTTGCTTAGTGTTTTTCTGTTTGTTTGTTTGTTTGTTTAAGATTCAGTTGTTGATAGTTGTGAATTTGTTATCTTTTTAATGTTCATAGTTTTTAATCTTCTTTTTTATTAAATAAGTCTCTTTAACATTTCATGTAATAATGGCTTGGTGATTATGAACTCCTTTAGCTTTACCATATCTGGGAAGCACTTTATCTACCCTTCCATTCTAAACGATAGCTTTGCTAGATAGAGTAATCAGGCTTTGTAGGTCCTTGCTTTTCATCACTTTGAATTCTTGCCATCCCCTTCTGGCCTGCAAAGTTTCTTTTGAGAAATCAGCTGATAGTCTTACAGGAACTCCTTTGCGGGTAACTCTCTGCTTTTTTCTTGCTGCTTTTAAAATTCTCTCTTTATCTTTAACCTTTGGCATTTTAATTATGATTGTCTTGGTGTGGTCTTCTTTGGGTCAGCTTGTTTGGGACTCTCTGTGTTTCCTGGACTTGAATGTCTATTTCCTTCATCAAATTAGGGAACTTTTCTTTCATTAGTTTTTCAAATAACTTTTCAATTTCTTGCTCTTCCTCTTCTCCTTCTGGCATCCCTATGATTCACATGTTGGCACATGTGGAGATGTTCCAGAGTCTTCTTATACTATCCTCTTTTTTTTTTAATTCCTGTTTTTTCCTTTCTGTTCTTGTTGAATGTTTATTTCTTCCTTATGCTCCAAATCATTGATTTGAATCCCAGTTCCTTCCTTTCACTTTTGGTTCCCTGAACATTTTTCTTTATTTCACTTGGTGTAAACTTCATGTCTTCCTTTATGTTGTTTCCGTCCTCAGTGAGTTCTTTGAGCACCTTGATCACCAGTGTTTTGAACTGTGCATCTGATAGGTTGGCTATCTTCATTTTGTTTAGTTCCTTTTCCGGGGTTTTGTTCTGTTCTTTCATTTGGGCCCTATTCGTTTGTCTCCTCAATTTGGCAGCCTCTCTGTGTTTGTTTCCAGCTGTTGCCCTGGTATCAAATCCCTGAGTGAGTGGGTTTGCATACACTCCAAGTCCATGTGGGCCCTTTAAGCAGATTCTCCTGAAAATCTGGCAGTTTCTTCTGCTACCCTAACCCTCACTGGTTTTTACAGCCAAATGCTATGGGGATTTTACTTCCTGGCACTGGAACCTTGGGCTGTGCGGTCTGGCCTGGGCCTGGGATCTCTTGCTCCCAAGGTATCCCTCCTGATTTTTATCCACCACACGTGAATGTGGGACCACTCATGCCTGTTCCATTACTGCCATCGCCTCTCTGCACCACACCGCATCTCCTAACCTCTCCACTCTGTCTCCACCTCTCCACCTCTCCTACCCATCTGTACAATGGTGGCTTCTTTAAAGCCTTGGTTGTCAGACTTCCATACAGTTCAATTTTCTGGAAGTTCTGGGTGTTATTTGTTTTGAGATTTAGTTTTAATTCTTTTTGTGGTTGTGCAAAGAGGCGAAGTGTGTCTACCTATACCTCCATCTTGACTGGAAGTCATCAATCTATAGCTTTAATGTAATCCCTATAAAACACCAATGGCATTTTTCACAGAACTAGAACAAATAATTCTAAAATTTATATGGAACCACAAAAGACCCTGAATAGCCACAGCAATCTTTAGAAAGAAGAACAAAGTTGGAGGCATCATGCTACCTGACATCAAATTATACACAAGGCCATAGTAATCAAAACAATAATGTAGCAGCATAAAAATGGACACCCACATGGTCAATTAATCTATGACAAAGGGAGGCAAGAATATATAACGGGATAAAGACAGCCTACTCAATAAATGGTGTTTGGAAAACTGGAGATACATACAAAAAAATAAAACTAGATCACCTTTCTACACATATGCAAGAATAAGGTCAAAATGGATTAAAGATCTACCTGAAACCATAAAACTCCTAGAAGAAAACACAGGCAGTGGTTCTCTGACATTTTTCTGATCTATCTTCTCAGGCAAGGGAAATAAGCAAAAAAATAAATAACCAAATGTTTGTAATTATATCAAATTAAAAAATGTTTGCACAGTAGAGAAAATCATCAACAACAAAAAACAACCTATTGATTGGGAAAATATATTTACCCATGATACTTTGATAAGGAGGTTAATATCCAAAATTTACAAAGAAATCATAAAACTTAACACCAAAAAAACCCAAACAATCCAATGGCCAGAGAACTTGCATAGACACTTCTCCAAAGGGGAGATATATATATATATATATATATATGTGTGTGTGTGTGTGTGTGTGTGTGTATATATGGCCAATAGACATATGGAAAGATCCTTGAAGCCACTAATCATCAGAGAGATGCAAATTAAAACCACAGTGAGATATTACCTCACATCTGTCATCAATAAATCAGCAAAAGCAGTGTTGGTGTGGTGAGGATTTAGAAGAAGGAAACCCTCATACATTGTTGGTAGGACTGAAAATTGGTGCAGCCACTACAGAAAATAGTATGCAGGTTCCTCCAAAAATTAAAAATAGAACTACCTTATGACCCAGCAATTCCACTTCTGGGTATTTATCTGAAAAAAAATCCCACAAAACACTAGTTTAAAAAGATATATGCACCCCTATGTTCACTGCAGCATTTACAATAGCCAAGATCTAGAAGTAACCTACATCAATAGACAACTGGTTAAATAAGATTTTGTACATATGTACAATGGAATTTTACTCAGCCATAAAAAGAATGCAATCTTACCTTTGCAACAGCACAGATACAGAGAAGGACAAACACCATATTATTTCACTTATATGTGTAATCTAAATAACAAAATAAACAAACAAAACAGAAACAGATTCCTAGATACAGAGAACAAAATGAGGGTTGCCAGATGGGAGAGGGTTCGGGGGCTGGGTAAAAGAAGTATAAGTTGGTAGTTACAAAATAGTCAAGGGGATGTAAAGTACAGCATAGGGAATATAGTTGATGATATTGTAATAACTACATGTAGTGCCCAGTGGGTACAAGACTTAGGGCGGGATGATCACTTCATAAATTATATAGGTGTATAACCACTATGCTGTACACCTGAAATTAATATAATGTTGAATGCCAACTGTAATTGAAAAATAAAAAAAGAAACAACACAAACGACCCCCCCAAAAAAGAATGTGGGCAATATAAAGGCATTTTCAGATATTACAAAAACAGAGAATCCATCATCACTGAAGGACTTTCTAAAGAATGTTTTTCAGGCCCTGGCTGGTGTGGCTCAGTGGATTAAGCGCCAGCCTGCAAACCAAAGGGTTGTGGGTCTGATTCCCAGTCTAGGGCACATGCCTGGGTTGCAGGCCAGGTCCCCAACAGAGGGCAAGCAAAAGCCAACTGCACTTTTGATATTTCTCTCCCTCTCTTTCACCCTCCCTTCCCCTCTCTAAAAATAAATCAATAAAATCTTTTTTTTTTAAAGAATGTTTTTCAGGGAGAAGGAAAATTATCCAAAGAAGGATGTGATTAAGAAGGAATGAAGAAAATGGTAAACAGGTAATTAAATCTAATAAATATTGACCTAGAAAATAATAACAAAAACAGCAACAATGTCTAATCTGGAGTTAAAGTAATGATAGAGCTAAGCCAAATGTGAGGTGACTGGATACCAAAACCCTAAATAAAATGCTAGCTATTTGAATATATCAGACAACCAAAGAGAACACTTTAAATTATCTCAGGATTTTAGAGACAGGAAATCTAGCAGTATAATCACCTATGTTAACAATTTTCAGAAGAAAACTACATGGTCATATCAATACATGCTATACAAAAGCATTTGGGGGGAAAAAATCAATACCTAACCTTGACTTTTTAAATTCTTAGTAATTAGACACAAAGGGAAATTTACTTAACATGATAAAGAATAAACTAGTGAAGACACAGTGGGAAGCATTTCCCAAAACAAAAATGTCCTATTTTACCTTAACAGCTAACACTGTAGAGAGATGGTGGTCAATAGAAGACAAAAAATAAGAAATGCAAACGTTAGAAAGAGATGTCTGGTGGTGCTGGTGCTGGTGGTGGTGGTGCTGGTTTTAGCAGAAGATAGGATTGTCTACGTAGAGCAGCCAAACAAATCAACTTACAAACTATTAAAACCGATAGAGTTTAGAATGGAGGCTCAGCTTCACACCTAGTTGTGGCTACCCAAGTTTAAAGGTGCTAGCTTCAAGGGTGAATCATGAAAAACTATTTTCTTTAGAGGAAGATACTAGGATTGGCAAGCTGTTGTTCTCCCCTCTCCCCACATCGTA